TGGCCTTGGGTCCCACGGCCTTAACTCATCTCAACACCAGCTCACACAACCTTTCATATGATATTACTATTGATGTCATTAATTAATAACACCATTAATAAGTTATCTGTCTGGGAAGTTCTTTGGTGTCACATGCACACTGACATGGGGTAGCAAGAGAGAAATCAATTTTTCTCTGGTAATTGACATATAATGACTCTACCAGCCAAAGAATATTTAGAAAACCTTACTCCTAGTCCCTACAAAGGAGAATATAGGGGTAGAAGATGACAGAGGATAAAAGACATAGAGGAATAAAGTCTACAGGTTAAAGGAATAGTCATTTTACTTAAGAAGGGAAACACATTTTAGAATAACAGAGGAAAAATAAGTTCTGTACATAGCAGTTGCTAAATAGTCACTTATTTAATATTGTTATGAATAAGTATTAGAGCTAAACACAACATAATTTAGATTAAAAGCCTCCGATAATAAGTAAACACTGTATTTCTGATGATTAGGGCAAGAATGAATCAGGCAATTGTAGTTAGGGATTATCACTAGCTTTCTATTGAGATTGTTATCAGAACTTAGTATATATTTATAATGATATAAAATGTTATTTTTCAGTACATGAATGTTTTCAATCTTTTTCAAGAGTTCTTTTTGGGATATACACAAATCCCAAGATCAAAAGCCTTTTGAGTGATGGGTAAGTATATCCACTAGCCCAAGAGAGCCATGTATTCTAGTAAAGATCACAATACCCAGAATGGAGGAAAGTTGAAGAAACAGCCTTTACATATTTTTTCATGCAACTTATCTGGGTCTATGTATGCTACAGATTATGAAAGTGCTACCCAATAGGTTAAATACAATTGTGAAGAAAATACGCGCGCGCACGCGCGCGCGTGTGTGTGTGTGTGTGTGTGTTTGACATGAAGAGAACACAGTGATCAGTCACCAGGGAGAAGGCTGGCAGTATTTTGGTCTATGTGATAGTTATATTTGCTGTCATAAGTACAGTCAATGTAATCTATTTTATACGAGAATCACTCATAAGTTTGAGCTGTGCAAAGTTCCCCTCCAGGATCCTTAGACCACAGCTCTAAAGGGAGCTGAAGAACATCAGAAACAAGTGTAGATCTTTAAATCGTGGGGGTATCTAGGGCTACATATTCTTTCCAGGGTTTACCCAGAATCTGGTAGATGTCTATTACATGTCATCTTAATATTCACCAAAGCTTAATATTCATCATGTGAGATGGTATAGCTATTATTAATCCATTTTGAAATAAGGCAAAATAGTTGAAGAGATGCTAATAAATATACAAATACTTTGAGTTAACAAAATACAGTTTTAAAGTATTTGAGAAAATTATAATAGTGTGATGAAAAATATTCACAAATAGCTAAATATATATAGTATGTAAGTACGTTTCATAATGAAAAATTACTTATGGTAAGATGTGAAAAGGAGATGTAGAAACACAGTGAAAAATACATAACTCTGTGTAAAAGTAATATAACATTATTTAGGTTACTTAAACTTACCTGAATAATAAAAACATTTTCCCCACCTTCAAAATCAACTATAATCAAGAGTATTCTTCCTTCTTTTTTAATGGAGGTACTGGGGATTGAACCTGGGACCTCGTGTACACTAAGTATGTGCTCTACCACTGAGCTATATTCATCTTCCCTCAAGAATAGTCTTTGAATAGACAAGAACATTAATTTTTATACCAAAACATGCTCCTCCTTAGGCATTTTATTATCTCCACTTCTGCATGCAGAAGCCCTTGTAAAAGTGAATTATGGTAACAATATGCAGAATGAAGTTTCACAATGGAGTTTTTCTCATAAAATATAAAGCAAGTATAGAGTGTTTTACTTAATTCTGAGTACTATGTTGCTAGGAAAGAGGATGGCAAATTTATTATTTGGCATTTTTACTGAAATGCTTAAAATGTAAGCATGTTTTCTGATCTTAATAGGTAAAATCAAGTAAAAGCCTCAAAGTCTACCATTAAGAACACAAACAGAAAGCTGGGCTAGTGTGGAGTGGCAGCCAGGCTTCTGAGTAGGTCTGTGGTGTAGTTGCCAGAACTCTGAAGCATCAAATACTCATCTTGTGTTTTACCCTTGCTTCTGTGGTTTTTCCATTAGGGCTTTACAAAAATGTATTTCCTCTATTTTAAAAACATAAAAATAGGTAAACAAGAGATACTGTCTATATGCAAATAAATATATTTTCAGTTAATATTTCAATTAAAATGAATTGATAGACTTCCCCACAATGAAACAAAAATATATGTTTCATTAGCCAAGTGTTTAGAACTATGAATCCTTCAAGTGCACAGAATATCCTTTTGCTAAAAGTTTCATCTTTTTTTTTCAGCAAAAAAGGCTTCTTTAATAAATGACAATACATACAGCATGAGACACATGATAATCCCCCTCTTTCTTACTCTAAAAATCCACTAATAGATCTTCACCTTAATTTAAAAAAATATGGAAATAATAGGAAAATAAGGTGGAGGCACACATAGAAGGTTGGCTGATAACACCAACAGGTGAACATGTTCCCACTCCCCACACTGGATATTACATCCCCAGAA